ATGTTTGGTCTTTCACTCGTCTCACGTGACTCATCCTGCTGCCAGTAACAGCGTTCCATTTCTCACTGTTGTCGTGGTACATTTTGGACATCACATCCAAACAAAACCAAGAATGGCAATTTTTTTTTTTTTTAACAAGAAGTAATTAAAGAGAATGAACAGTAAGAAAAAAAAGGCAAATGACCTAGTTTGGTCTTCGCCGCAAAACCCACAGTTCTCTGGGGATATCTAAGTATGTTAAGCAAATATTTCAAATCTATCTCTATTTTGAATGTGAGTCATTTCAGTTAGACATCTTTCAGTTATTTGTCCATTGGTCTTAATTAGGTAAACTCCAAAGCCCTGCAACATGTGTTTATTGTTGAATAATTACCCTTTTGGTAAGTTTTCTTGCTCTTACCTTCTTAGCCTTAATAGCTAATTTGATCAGTAACAGTGAAGTCTTCCTGCATGGTAAACAAGGTGTTCTCTGGGGAAGAAAGAGAGATATTGCCCTTTAGTTAGGACTGTTTTGAATGTGGATGTCATTCTTGCACAGGCAGGTTTCCTTTGGTGTGAGCATATGTCCTGCTTTGTTCCAGCAGAATTTACCCCCAGCAAGAAATGTAGGGCTGACCCTGCATATCCCAACCAGTTCCAGTGTCATTCCTGAGGTGTGGAGCCTCATCACAATCAATGGGGCCAATTCTCACAAGACTTAATCTGGCATAAATCAAGAAAAAACTTCCCCAAAGTCAGTTACCCCAGAATGAAAGGAGCAAGGTATCCAAAATTAAACTAACTTGATTACTCATATGGAAGGAATTGCCTGATTGCAGCCTTTGCACACTACTGCATCAGCTGCTTCCGTTCCCTTCGCGAACATTTAAATGTAAAGATATAAATCAAAAGCTCAGGACAGAAAGAGAGAAAGACAGAAGTTACCTTGATGGATTCCACTTCCATGAGATCCTTCTGGAAACCACTCTGCTTTTATTAGATTTACTCTCTGTAAATTAGGATTACTTTTTTATATGGATTTATGGAATGGTGTAGTGCTATGGTGACTTTTTTATATGGATTTATGGCTATGGTGTAGTGCAAGTGGGGTGAACCCTCTGGTCTAAGGCGAGGGAGTGTGTGCTCTTTTCATCTGTTATTGGAAAGTTACAGTATGTGGGTTAAAGGCCCCTCGATACCAGTGAAAGAAGAGTTCCAGACATGGAAAGTGCTTAAATCCTGTGTGTGCCAGCCAGTGATATTAATATTGTATAGAACAGCCAGTTGTCAGAGGGCCAGATTCTGTTCTCAGTTACAGCAGTGTAAAGCAGACTTTTTTCAGAGGCAATGAATTCACCTTCACAAGTGCTTGAAGAGTTAAAGATAGACTCAGGTTGTCCGTGTTCAGAGATAATCTCTGAGCTCTTTTTTCGGCTGCTGGGGGAGATAAAAAAACGTGAGCTGGTGGTGGTGTCCCTTGTCCGGCATTGTTCCAGCTTCCATATGGTAGGCACATTTCGGAGGCTTTGGTACAAGTGTGACTTCACTCAGGGCACTGTTGTGCAAGACATCTTTAGCTCTCATTAATGAATCTGTAAGGTACTTTGTGAAGGCAAATGTACAGTGGATTAGCTGAAAACAGAATTTCACACAGATTTAGCATAAGTGCTCTGTTCTTTTGCAGGGAGCAAATGTGTTTTCTGATTTGACAGCTACAAGAGAAGATAATTATTTTTGACAGCACAGGGATAGTGTTCATGTTATTCTAGGAAATCTCCATCTTCACACAAATAGGTATCAGTGTGTGCTACAGTTGGTATTGCTGAGCTTTGGTGAAAGCTTCAAGTTTCTTTGTTTTGATAATATGATAAAATTGGTAAAGTACATATTTAGAAAGCCCTAATGAATTTCAGACTTGTATCATTCGGGGAATGAAAGAAAGTGTTTTATTATGAGTCCAGTATAAACCTTAAACATTTTAAGCGACTCCGCAATATTTTGGAGGGAAGATACATCTTGACTATATTCCAAGTAACACTGCTGATGGAAATAGAGGAACTGTGAATTGGGTATTGTAAGTCTGATTGATTTACCATCTTTTCTTGGTCGTGTGGCCTTTGGAAGTGTGGAGAGCTGATTCACTAGTGTTCAACAGTGTATTTAGATACCCTTTAAATGTGATTCTCCTAAACCAATTAGGAATCCAAAGTCTCATTATACAGTCTTGCTAAGGTAGGTATTATCCCTGAAGTGAGTTAAATTATGATTGAATGAAGCCAGAATAGGAATGGGATAAAGCCCAATGAAGCTGTGGACTCCAGAGAATCATGATAATTTATGTCATGATTACAAGCAGGGCAGAGCTAATAATCAGAAAGACCCACTATAAGCTGAAAGGCCTCCAAAGTGATCTTAAAAGGTTTGGTGACTGCCTTGTACAGGCCAGAAGATGCTGCATTTCTGTACAGCTTCTGTATCTCTTCAGAGTCATTCAAAACAGTCACACAGTGTCAGTGAATTCAGGTCTCTGAATATAGATCTGAAATAACTAGAACATATATATTAATTACCATGAAGAAGGCTAATGGCCCATTTTGTATAGTTTAAATGCAAATCAGTTTCTCTTTAAAATCTCTTTCCTGAAAAATCTTACATGGGCTTTTTATAAATGTTTATATAAAATGATGCTGACCTACACTTCCTAGGACTTTTCACATGCCTTGGTGTTGTGATGGAGCTGGGTAGGAAAAACTCAGTATTAGTTTTCCAATTTTAAAGATTCTGACTTCTGGAAAAGTAAAAATTAAATAAATGGTCAAGAAATGTAATGTATCAGCCAAACACTGAAAACTTTTCACTGGAAACAGGGAATTCTCTTCTGGAAATGTCACAATAGTGCCTCATGCAAGTTGTAATTTGGGTGTCATATGTGCCTGCCCTTTTCTGTGGCTCTGGATGCTTGCCTGGGCTACATCTTCATATGACATGGTCTTCCCATTACAATGGCTCCATGGAGCATGATGGGGATGCTGTGCAGCCCAGCCAGTAGAGGAGAATGGACTTTTGTGCTGCGAGGCCTTTCACGAATTCTAAGTTACCAGAGACTTTTTTTGCCTTCCCCAGTCACCTCTTTCTTCTCATTTATACTCACCAAACCCCTGAACGTGATTTTCATAATTTTCAAAGCTTTCATTGACTGTAATTATAGAGGACCATGGCAGCCCAGGCTCTCCCACCCACCTTCAGTTTGCTACAGGGTTAGAATATGATCAGAGGGGTGGAGCACCTCTGCTCTGGAGACTGACTGAGAGAGCTGGACTTGTTCAGCCTGGAGAAGAGAAGGCTCTGGGGAGACCGTATTGGGGCCTTTCAATATGTAAAGCAGAACTTGTAAGAAAAACAGAAAAACTTTTTACTAGGGATTGTAGTAATAGGACAAGGGACAACGGTTTTAATCTGAAGGAAGATAGATTTAGTTAGGATATAAGGAAGGAAATTTTTCATGAAGAGTGGTGAGGCACTGGCACAGTTTGCCCAGAGGAGCTGTGGATACCCCATCCCTGGAACAGTTCAAGGCCAGGTTGGATGGGACTTTGAGCAACCTGGTCTAGTGGAAGACATGCCTGGCCATGACAGGGGGTTTGGACTAGATGATCTTTGAAGGTCCCTTCCAACCCAAACCATTCTATGATTCAATACTCATATATACCTGCCCTGGATAATACCACAAATTATACTGCTGAAATGGTAGAAGTTGTGTTGTCTGTGGCGGGTCCAGTGAGGGTTTCAGTAGAAGAAGGAGCAGACCTGAGAGCAGTGTAGAGCAGGTTATTGGTGATGGGGATGTTGGTAAGTCTATGGCTGCTCAGAGAGATTGATTTCACACAATTAATTTCACACAATTACTAAGTCAGGTACTTAGTTTAAGTTACTTGTTTAGGCACCTTGTATAGTCAATGAGAAGAGGAAAACATGTCTTGGAGCTGCATGAGCCTATTTTGGGATGGCTGAATGATGTAGGCATTGTCTGGGTAAAACTCAAGAGACAACAAAACTATAGTGGGATGAATTGTGCCTTGTAACACACCTGGATGCTTGTGAAAATCAGTGATTTGCAGGAAACTGAGCACAGGCTTTATCTTTTCTGTCCCTTTGCAGAATTTGTTTTCTTCCTCAGTGTGTGACACTCAGTGCCTCCTTGGAGAGTGGGCTGACTACAGTGCAGTTCAGCTCACCATCAGAGCTGGGTACAAGGGTGAAGGAGCCACTTCTGAGCTCTGTGTGAAAACTACAGAACTACGCTTGCCTTAGTATCTGACACCATTACATTTTGTCTGCATGAAAAATCAGATTTGAGGAAGATCTAGTATTTTAAGACATGATTTATCTACCATAGTGAAAATGGTGATATATATATTTCTGAGTAATATTACTATAGCTCTAGTCTGTTTTTCTAGTCTGTAAAATGGAGTATTTACCAGAGCAGAATTTATGATTATTAGCATTAGCATTTATAATAATAGCTTACTTGGAAAATACAGTTAAATGTATAAATTAAAACAAAACCACTTAAATTTTTTCACACTGTTGACCTGACAGTAAAGTAGAAACATGCCCATCTAAAGTCATAATCACAGAGATAATTATCTGCAAAGAAAAACTCGACTTACGTCACTGTTTTCAGAGAGTCCCTCTCCCTGGAAATAAAGGGACTCTGAAACATCCCTCTCCAAAATGTAACAGGCAAGGCTTTACCCTAAAAATGCAAAGAAGGAAAGGAAGTTACCTCTTTTGAGGTAGAAATAGCCACAAAACTTAAAATGAGAAATAAACAATAGTTCACAGATCCAGATTGCTTTGCAATTAATTTTGTCTTCCTTGTGAAACCCTTCATTTCCACTGCCGTGTCACTGATGAGAATTCTGCAAGGAAATCCAAAACGAGTGTACAAAGTAGTAGTCATTGTAGAGGGTTCTTAGTCAAAGGCTTATTGTTTTTTATTTTACTTATTTTTTTGACAGTGAACGGTGGCTACAATCATTGCAATTTGATCTCCGAGAAGAAGACCATGATGGACATGGAGATGACAAGTAGTTCAGTGCCCGTCTGCAGGCAAGGGCTGTTCATCCACACAGGCAACTCCCTCATGCGAGAGCACCCCCTGTCCCGGGAGAGGCTGCTGCACGTGGGTCAGCTCAACCTGGCACACTCGGATATGAGGTACCAAAGCTGCAACTTCTTTCACTTCATGCACTTTGCTCTTCTGGAGAGTTGCTTTGTTGGAACTGTTTCCCAGTAGCGTCTGTGGGTGCTACATTTGAAAGTGTGTTATTGGCTTCCCCTTTGTTTCGGAAGTCCTTCAGTGCCGGAGGAGTCACTGTGTGTGCAGCCACAGCCCCTGAACTGAAGTTTAAATACAGCTTCTCTGTGGGGGCTCTTCCAGGGTGCTCAAAAGTAGATGAGAACTTTGCCTCAGAGGGTTCAGTAGGGTCAGACTTGCCTCCTCTGTACCTCCGCCCCATTGCCATGGTGTTTCCAAATTGCAGCCTGGAGGGCAGGGATGATACTCGGTCCCAACGCAGTCTCTCCCATGTGGCAGTTTGGCATGCCACCATCAAACGTACAGGAAGCCAATGCCACTTTACTTTCTACAGCATCTCCTTTTCAGTGTTCAGTATTTTCAGTGTTCCCATACAGCCACATCCTTGGTATTTGCTTTTAAGGCCGTAATGTGAAAATTTGGTCTCTGGTTTTGATATATACACTGTAGTTGGATATGCTATGAACAGAATCTCTATTTAAACATTTGCTATAAATTAATTATATGAAAACACAGAACTCCATTATTTTTTTGTTGTTGTAACAAATTTAACATTACCAGATTTTAAACAAGTACCCTAAACAGACATCCATTGTGAATAGAAGCCTGCTACAAATTAAAATCTGTCCATCTATTTTAATTATGCTGCTTTTTGGCAGGGGATATAATATGGAATAATCTTGACCTTTTTGAAGAGCTGTAGAAAAGAGAAACCTCAGTAAAGTTGCAGCCTTTATCTTAGGTACTTGGAATAACTGGCACTATGTGCGTGGAACTATCAAGCCCAAATTTCCATAGCTACAGCAAGAGGAAATACGGCCTACAGCTTGGTCTTGAAAATCCGACTGTTTCTGATTTTATTATACATATTTATGTCTTGTTTCCCCTTTTCCATTTACTGGTGGGGTAAGAACATCTGTGTTTTCAGGAGAAGGAGGCAAAGTAACATGACAAGCAAGTGGAAAGAGTTTTTTGTATGTTTGTTTGTTTGTTTAAAAAGGACAAATAATATCCATGCCACATAACAAAATATTCCAGTATTGCTGCAAAGATTTGTAGATGCATTTGCAGCTGGATGTAAATCTGCTCCCTCCTGGCTTCTTTATGGCTCAATGTGGGACTGGCAATTATCAACCTTTTTTTAATTCTGTCAGTGAGGACAATTATGAAACAAAGATAATTAGGGCAGGAGCAAACAAAAGGAGGAAGAGAGTGCTCTGCTTAGATCTTTCTGAACCTTTTTGTAAAATTTATAATGAGGAAATGACAGACACCTGCATACCTGGCATCACAGTACCCACCCTCAGAAATATGAACCCCTTCCAGCCCCCATTTGGAAGAGGATTCCCAGAGCAACATAAAGGATTGTCTGTTGCATAACATGAGAAAGCAGTGGGTTATAGGCCTGATTCCCTCTCCTTTGCCTTGTGGCATGGTCTAAAGCCTTGAAGCTCCGCTGCTTCTAAGTTTGGAAATGTATGGAGAGTATCTTGAAGGACCCTTCTACTCCATTACAGGTTTGGTTTTGTGTCCCACTGATCATGCTCTTGCTTGTGTGTCCACCTGGCTAGTACTGATTTTGTCAGCATGGGATTTACAAGGTGAAGCCAGTGCCCAGCTCTGCTCTGTGGACCTCCTAGACACGGTGTCTCATTATAGCACTGTGCTGCTTGTGAGACACGTGGTTCAGAGCCAGAACTCTGGCATTTGAGAGAAGCATTTGGGATGATTTCTGTTCGTGGTGTTTGTGACACTAAAGGTTCTTTACAAACAAGTAACAGAAAAGATGGTCTTTCCTGAAGATCTGAAAACAGGAGAACATAACTGAGGTGGGGGTAAATGCCCAGCACTGAAATTAGTGGGAGCCAGGAGTGCTCTGCACCCCCCTCACCCCCCATCTCAGCCTTCATTAGAAAATAGAGAAGTAGGGCTGGAATTGTCAGATATTGGAGCACACAGAAGTCAGGGCAAACTCTCTTTGGTTGTTCTGCCCAGTTCTAGTGACCAGCACAGAAATAAAGGGAGATACAAATTCAAACAGTCTCTCTGGGTTGAGCTTTGAACAGCTTTGTGTTTCTAGGATATGGAATGTCAGGGAAAAGCCAAACAAACCAGAGAGCACCTCCCCTAGAAATCAAAAGTCTCCCTCAGGGTTTGGAGTTGTGATTGTCCTTTTTTCCCCTCAATGCACTGAAACTTGTTATCCCCTTCAGCTTCTCCCTGAATTGCTTTCTCTTGAAAACTGTATTCTAGGGATGACTGCCGTAGTCCAAGAATCATGATCCTTCTTCTTCCTGGCCCCTTTTCCCCACTCAGTTAATAACTTCTAAGTTCTGCAGCCTAATTGCTGCTACATTCTATCTGTGAATGCAATGCGTGTGGGACTGGAAAAGTCCCAATACCTTCCTCACCACAACTGGAGTCAGCACACAGCTAATGTTGGCCCTTTGTCAAATAAGCCATTATCAGACGCGGCAAACCCTCCCACACGGTGCTCAGTGCTCGCATGTAAAACCCAGGGAAGACATCAGAGCACTCGGATAGTGTTGCACGGGGTCCCTGGATGTGCAGCAGAACAATCCCCTCCAGCTTCTTAAAACTGTCAGTTATCACCGAGCACACATTTACAGTGGCAATGGAAGGCATGTATGTTTTGTAAATAATCCGGAGATTTCAGATACAGTCATCTTTTCCTCTGAGGGCAGTTGGGAACTGCAGCGCTTCTGGCGTGGTGCTACTGGCCTCGTGCTCTGGCTCCAATTACCACGTAAGGGAGTCTCTTTGGAAACACTGCCTTAGTATCCTCTGAGAGGCTGCTGTTACTCTTCAAAGGCCTTACACTCAGCTTTCATGTGCTTCAGCAGCAATTCTTTTCCCTCGGACTGTCCATCCCTGGTGCATGGATGCTCCCCATGAAGAGAGGCTTGTGGGGTGTATTCTGCTGACTCCACTCCCTTCCAGGATTGCCCATTTGGAAGCCCCCCAAAGCTGCTCGTGCTGATCCATGTGTCCACACGGTGCTCCTTACACTGTCCCGCTCTACTTCGTCCCCTCATCTTGGCTGTTTATTTCGTAGACATTTATATTTGGCTGCTGTCCAGAGATCATGAAATCCTTAGGGCCAGCACAGCCTGTGGGTACCAGGCCTGGAATCTGATCCCTGGCTGTGACAGCAAGATGCCTTTGCAGGAGCAAATAGTCAATGGGTAAAAGAGGACCCACCCAGCAAGTTGGATGCCAGACACCTTATGTTGCTCCTGCATTAGTTTTGTTTCTTTGCACCTTCTTCCTCCAACCCTTTCAGGTCTGGGAGGAATGAGCAGGGCTTTCCCTAGAATAGTGATGGCAAAATTCTGCCAGTCATACAGGAACTGTGCATTAATGCAACCTCAGCATTAAGTAGCCCAGCGCTCAAAACATCAGGAGATTGAAGAAATGTTAGATCCTCCCAGCAGAGCTAACTAACATGGGATATATAGTGTATATAAGTATATAGTGCTACAGAGAAAACTGCAGTCCCTGGAAAGGACTTGCTTCTGATCTGCACAAGCAGCCTGTGCTTATCATTTTGTAGGCAGAGCATGGATAAGACATGGCTGTGGCAATGGGAAGTATGAATTCAGTGCCATCATTGCTTTTGAAATAAGGTATTCCAACTTGCCTTTTGGTTCAAAACTCCTCTCTTGTGTGTCTCATATTCTACATGGCAGCATCACAGCAATACAGTCCTGACTGAGTAAACTCCTCTGCTGGAAATGCAGATGGATGTTCCTGAGAGTTTTGGGAAGCTAGTATTTCTCAGGATAGGGATGTTTGTATCCATCCTGCAGGTACTCTGCACTGACTCCAGCTTAGGCAAAAGCCAAACTCCTCATGTGGATTTCTGGCAAGATGGGAGCTTTACATAAAGCTTAATAATATGACACCAATTATCACAGGCTGAAATGTAAGGCTTGGGTTAGCTTTATGTGATGTAGGAAATGTGTTGTGTTTACTTTAGCCTGAGGCTTTGGGACCACTAAACTATGATACAAACTGAATTATTTAGAAGAGTTTTTGTACAGCAGAAACTAAGTAATAGGAAATACTGTGCCTGGCATGGCATGTGTAAAGCCTTTCTCAGAATGAGTTTAAAACACCATGCTTTTTACTGAGCAAGCAGAGCAGGGTTTCCCAAACATGTGCCATAAAAGTATACTTATGCCACATATTTTACAGACATATGGTTCTGTAAATGTTAAAAAATAATGTATGAATACTGTTGGGCTTGGGGTTTTTTTTAATATAAATCTACCATCTGCAAAAACAGGTGCTTTAAGTTTACCCTGAGACCAACTGTGCAAACCTAAAGGGAGAAATTATAAGTAATGGTTTATAGAAACCTCTAAAATGTTTAAATATACTCTTTTGAAATTTCTGGTGGCAAATGCAAGATCTGATTGTTCTATATCAGTGAATGGTGGGGAATTTCACTTCTCTCATGATCTTAAAGGGTTTTTTAATATCAAGCCCTATTGCCTGCAAACTGTTGGAGCTTAGAAACCTGTCACTAGTGAATGCAGTGTTGCCAGTTGTGTGCCTCGAACAGGTGTAATTTTTTGACAACCTTAATTTCATGGGAAGGAAGTATTTTTGAAGCTTTATATTGGTGTTATGTTTTTTTTTTTAATTGCTCGTTCTCTGAGAGCTGTTACCAGGGAAGTTGTAGAAGTTGTCGCAGCTTCCCATTTTAATGTTAGTGGTGGATAATAGTGATAAAGTCATCTAAGGTATAAAATAAATGCAGTTTATTCAGCAGCTTCACAGTTTAATATATGTTTATGTCCAAAATACCTTATGCATATGTGTTTCATGCTTTAAAATGTGTCAGATCTGCCTTAGCTGTGGTGTCACACACAAGTTGCCAAATGGTTGGGTTTTTTCCAGCTTTTGTGGTGCTAGCATCAGAAAAGCATGAAATTCATTTAAGTGGAACATGTCAGCCTAAGAGCCATGGGGCACTTCTCTGGAGGGTTTATTAGCTCAGGTACAGCTTTCCTGCACACAGATGTACTGTTTCCTCTTCTGAGTCTGGCACATCGCTGCACAGTGAAGCCATAGGTTAAACCCTCCCGTGCTTTAGGGATATGTAAGGAACACCCTCTGGTCCTAAGAAAAATCACACAGTTGGATCATCCACAGTAAATGTTTATAGCTGAGATAAAATGTTTTATTTTAAGCCATAAACCAGTTGCTAACTGCTTGGAAGAAAATGTTAGGAGGAGCTGTTTCCTAATGCAGTGTTTTTTTGAAAAGTCTATGTGGCATTTCTCAAGATTCTGCTTCCTGAATGAATGGATTCAGCACACATCAGGAAAGATGAAAAATCGCTTTTGCAGAGCAATCTTACTTTGATTTACAGACCCATGCACATTTCATTATGAAAAATAGAAATGGGAGTGCACAGGCTGCCAATTTAAATCTACCGACTGTGTACTTTGTATTTTGTGAATGTAAATACTCAGCTGATATCTCATTGATTCTGAACCGCTGGTTGAAATTGAGCAGTTCTTTCTTTGTCTTCCTTTTTTCCCCACTGATCTTGCTCCTGTTTTAGTCTAGTGAAGGAAAGCCTGTCTCGGACATGTAAGCGTAGCTCAGCCAGCCTTTTTTGATTCGTGTGAACAAGAATGCCAAGGCATTTTCCCAGTGTGCTCTGAGGAAAATGCTGATATTTGAATAATTCAAAAATGCCCAAAGCTCTCAAACTTCATTCTCAGCTATTGTTTTGCTCGATCTATTATGCATTGAAAGCCTAGATTGTGATTGATGAACTGCCTGTAGCAGTGGAGGGGAGATTGTCTGTTCCGTGTGTAACCCATTGCGTAAAATTAATCCCGTGTAAAATGATGCTGACTTTACACAGGTTGTAGGGGAAGCATTGCAGATTTTTTTTTGGTGTAATTGCTGCATTAGACAGGCAACATTCAGCAGAGAGCAAACGCTTCCATTCTCCAGGGCTTAACAAGTGTTGTATCTTGTACAAAAATCATAAATCCTGTGGTAGTTAGTGATGCTTAATGAAAACTGTATTACAGGTCACCCAGGTTTCAAGACTCAGTAGATTCTGCTGCTCCATGCCTGAATGGAAGTCACCCGGCTCAGCACATTAAACAAGAATGCCCGAGTGATTATAAGGTTCTATCTGAGGCTTCCACACATAGGAGGATTACGGAGGGGATGGAGCTGAGAGCCTCCGGTAGTCTGCATCCTGAACTAGACCTAATGAATAATAGCTTTACAAATTCACTTTCATCCTACTTGTTTAATAATGAACACAGCTCCTCCCTGAGTCCTTTGTCACTTGGCACCCCTCAGCACTCAGCTAGGCTACAAACAAGCAACCTGAAGAAGAGATGCATCTCTGTTGTGCCGTCTTCAGCCGAAGGAATCGATATTACCGCGATCATCCGCACATCGCAGACGTCACTGGTCACCTGTGTGAATGGGCTGCGAACTAATGCAGCTGGCATTTCCTCTCATCCTGTGGAGATCAGTCATCACAGTGCTCAAAAATCCTCTCAGCCCCAATCTTGCTCTCAGCCTGGAAACCCTTGCAGTATTCCCTCCCCTCCAGCATGTCTTGTACCTCTTTCCGCTGACTGTGACAGAGGTGACTGTGAGCAGATACAAATGCAGCAAGTGGAGGAGAATGGAAGCCTCAGCCTTATGATGAATGGTACTGGCATTGCTCACCAGAACACCTCGCACGGCACCCAGAAGGTGAGTTTCTTAAAACAAGAACCAGCTGACGATTATTCCTCCAGTGCTGATCTTTTTCGCCATCACCAGGGGCTGCCTCCCCCTTACCACCTCCACCAGCAGCTAAGCCAGACCCAAGGGACTCTGCCTCACTTAAACGCCTCCATGTCTCCAAAGTCCCTGCAGCCCAGTGACGGGGATGAACAGGACCTGAGCAGTGGCAAACAGGTCTGTCAGTGGATTGACTGCAGTGCCACTTATGACCAACAAGACGAACTGGTCAGACACATAGAAAAGACTCACATTGACCAGCGGAAAGGAGAGGACTTCACTTGCTTCTGGGCAGGCTGTGTCCGCCGCTATAAACCCTTCAATGCTCGTTACAAACTGCTGATTCATATGAGGGTTCATTCTGGAGAAAAACCAAACAAGTGCATGGTAAGTCTGGATTATATTTGTTTGAATAGAAACATAACTGCTCTGCTCTCGCTCTTGCTCTCTCTTCGATCTTATTCCAATATAATTGTTGTGCTTTCCTGTAACTTAGTCTGCAGCAGGCTAAAGGGGAATTGGAGAAAACCTTAATCTAGAAGGAAATGATTGAGTAAGAAATACTGTAGTTCTTGGAAAAGGGATTCAGTTTCCTTATATGAGAGCTTAAAGTTTAATACAGTGCTTTGTTTTTTTAATATTCATTAAAGCACTAATAAAGTGATGATCAAAGCACGCAGCCGTCATTTAACGTAAAACAAAGTCACTGAGCCTCGGGTGACATTTTTAATCAAGAAACATAAAACACATCTAATGAAATTCTTTTCATTCCTTCAGCTGAACAATAACCCATAGAGTTGTGAGTGCAAAAGTTTCAAATGGTAGTTTAGAAGAAAAAAAAGAAACTTGTTAAAGGATTTTAAACAGCTAAAAAAATAAAAAGAATATGTTTAATTACGTTTTCAAAGGTTGTTAGGGGCTTTTTTAATTTGCAAAACAGAGCTTTAAAAATAAGTAAAAACCATTGTTCTCTTCTGATCAAGAAGATGTAAACAACAGCAGTGTTCCAAAAAGAGGATCTTGGGAATAACACCATCTCTGCATCTGCCCACCATGATGACAATATGGCCAAACTAAAATAAAAGTTAATGACTTCCATTAAGCTTTCCACATGTTTGAAACAACAATGATATAAGACCCTGACTGAAACAGATGAAGCAAAACAAGTTTGACATAAGCTTCCAAATTGGGCCATGAAATTTGGAAAGTCTTATTTGTAACACCCACATGCGTGTGGGTGTTATACACACACACACAGACACACACACACACAAATAAGTACAGACAAAGGGAACTATTATAGCAGCAGGTTGTGGTTCCTGATAGGCAGAATTTTCGTCTATATGTCTATTTTATTGTTTTGATCAGAGCATGATAGAATGGAAAATGCATGTAAGAAAGTTAGATCATGACAGACTTTTCCATGGCAAGCTGTAGCTTTCTATGGAGGAATAGGAAAGAATGTTTATAGAAAAAGCTTACTTTTTTTTTAGTTTGTTCAAGAAAAAAACTTGCAGGCCTGCGACAGTTATGGAAGGGAGAAGGAAGAAAACAACATATTGTTTTGCAGAGAAAACTTTTCTCTGTAGATGATCGTCCTGGTTATCTCTTTATTTCCATCGGGTAAATGAAAAACATTATCTTAATGTCTGCACTGTTGAGTGGGTATTCCTAAAATAATACTGGCAACAGTGCAGATACTTAGCGAATACCTTCAAGTTGTCCAAGATAAAACAGAAACACTCTAAGATTTCCTTGTTTCTTTTTCCTTTGAGAGGAAGAATCAACTTGTTTGTTTCCAGAAGTAGCTCACTCGCATTTTGTAAATGTAGGAATGAATTTAACTTCCCATGTATAGCTTTTATTAAGTGATAAATCATCAAAGGATAATACAAGTTTCTTCTTTGTAAACAGAAAAGTATAGGTAAGTAAGATGTGAAAGCATACTTAGACATTTTATTTTAGCCTACTTTGGGTTTTTTTTTTTGATCTGGAGCAAGATCCGTCTTCTTCCTACTTTTATTTCACACTTTTAAGAAGAAATACTTAAAATGTGAAGCGCTGATTAGCTTTCCTGTGATGCTGAAAGATTTAGTAGACTCTGTGGGTGAGGGAACCTTTCTCTTTTCCTGCAAAATGCGTATTTGACAGGTATTGTATAGCAGAATTCTAATGTTACATTCCCATTCCTGCAGAAGACTCAGTAAATCTGAGACATTAAATCATGTGATATCTTAGCAAATGCTAAAAATTTCTTACTTTCCATCATTTTCATCTGCATTAAAGTACCAGCTTTTGATAACATCTCAAGGTTTAACATTGTGAATAAGTTGGAAAAACCTTTGCATCTGATGTTGCAAACAGCCTTTATGGCATGTGTATTTAGCCTTGGCATGTAAGTGTATAAAGATCTGTTTTATTGGAGCAGATACTGTAGTTGTTCCCATACATGGAATGGCCCAATCAGAAGTAAGAGTTTTCCATTGGCCCAACTTGGAGTTAACTCTCCTATTCCCAGAATAAGAGCCTTCCACTGTCAGCAGAGGTATGATACGTTAAATGTTACAGTCTGGAATCCTGCGTGGAGTAAAGTGGATCCAACAGAGCACACGAAAAACGTGTCTTCTTTGCAAATTCAGTTTTCTACCCTGGAAAGACCTTGATCTAGCAGAGGCAAGATCCAAAGCTGCAGCACAGCTCCCTGTAGTTATTAATATCAAGTGGGGATTATTTGCCCAGCAAATTCCATTCTGCTTTAAACAAGGGTTGCTGTGCAGTGTTGCATTGTGCAGTGATGTCATGTCATTTTAAATGATGGCTTTTCTTTTGATGTGGTAATAATTGTGCTGTTATTCCTGCAAATTAAGAAGGCAATTCATTCTCTGTCTATAGAGGTCTGAGATTTTGTTTCGTTTTTGCTGTAGCTCTGTTAAAGTAACTTTACATCTCTTGGTATTTGTAGTGGAGATTTTCTTTCGCTGTTCACAATTACCCATTGTACTTCCTTTTTAAGCCCTTGATTTTGTTCCTCTCTGTAAGATTACTGCCTGACTAGGTATTGACTGCTCAGGAGAAGCTAACAGCGAGCAGCACCCCTCCCTCATACATAAAAGTACTTCTCCATGTAAAATTATTAATTTCTTATGACAGGCTTTGCTACTATGTACTGTAATAGACAAAGGAATTTTGGAATTCAAGCTACTTGAGAACAGGAAATACATGAGACATTTTGATTGAAAAGTAAATGGTTCACTAAAACTGCAGTTAATCCTTTTATTATCTTTCCAACAGCAGTTTCCACAATACTTTCATGAGGTAAGCTTCCTTCAGTCCAACTGTAACACTCTCATCGTTGCAGCTGGTTTGAATTTAGCAAGCCTGCTTCTTTCTCTACTACAGACAGTCGACAGGCTAAACAGGGTCTGGTGCAGAGCACTACTGATGTTTTGGGTCCATATTCTGCTCACTGTGTTTCATTGCCAAAACCGGTACTAGGAGTATTCTGTTTTCATATTCCGTTAAATATTGTAATTAAGCAGTGCCTTCTCGTCATTGTGTCCCTCAGTTTGGTTTTTCCTTGGGCTCTGCAAGTAGTCTAAAGGAAACTACCTAATCTCTTTGCAATATCCTGTTATGTTTCATACTTAACTCATGTTATTTTAGTTTTATTAAATTTGGGGTTCATCTGCATTATAATCAAAAATATATCCAACAAAAATAATGATGCAATGCCTTTAAGACTTTAACTTCTGAAGATTAATTTCATGCTTTTTTAGATTTGATGTCCCAGACAATTGGAATTTTGATTGTCTGAGACAGCAAAAATTAGCAAGCTTAAATGGTTTTTATTTAAAAAAAAAAAAAAGAAAGAAAAGGTTTCTCATAGCTGCATCTTTTGCTGCCTTTCAGTTCTTCGAGTACTTTGGTGAGTAGAACCGTGCTGATCTCCAGATATTACATCCTTGGTTTAAACCGCTGCTTGCAAATGTAAATATAGAGCTGCTCATTTAGTTGTCTAGAGTTGTTTGATTTGGACAAATCTGTTCTTGGCTTATTAGTTTACCCTTTTGCACTCTTGTGGCTCCATAAAGAGTAGAAAACTATGTTCCCATCACTGCGTGTGTATGTGCTCAGGGGCCTCCACAGAGAGGATCAAGGTAGGTGTATTTGTCTTTACGTAATTTCTACATATGCAATTAGTCTTTATAGAAATCGGGAATCCTAATGTGTGTGATACCCATGAAAGGAGCTGGATAGGGATAATATTAATGTCTCTACTTCATGTATTTCAAGGAAAATGTTCCAGACTTGTCTGTCACATTACATGCTTGTCTGGATGGGTAAGACTTCAAAGCAGAATTTTTTTTCATGTATATATGCAAAATACTCAGTTTGGGAGGAGTCTCAATGGATTGATTTGGGTGCTCTATTGTGCAAAGTGAAATTCAGCACCTGTGCTGTTTGTACTCAGTTCTTTTGAATCCCTAAGGGTGAGACACTATAGGTACTGCATTAAACATGGGAAAATTGAGACAGAGGAGATAAGTAACTTGCCTGAAGGCATCCTGAGGTAATTCCAGCATTCCAGTGCAGATCTTGTGTTCAAATCACTACATCACACAAACTAACCATTTGCAATTTACCTATGAAGCAGATTTTTGTACAGATTACACAAACGATAGTGCTGGGGCTGAACTCCCTGTTATTTTTACTGCACGAGGCAGGTGGTTGGACATGTCATGGACATGTGCAAGCTTTCATCAGAAGGCTCAGCTGCATCCGTAGCACTTCATGGGCAGCAACCTGGTTATTGGCAGTACAGGAGGAAGGGGCCTGTTGAGCAGATTAGTATTATTGCTGCTGTTCCTAAGGAAACCAGCACGGAATCTCCGTTCTCAGTAGATAGTGAGTATGATGCTGTCTATGATCCACAGGGAGTGAGTGTCTGGCAATGCATGGTGAGAAATGAGATCTCTACGGGCTACAGCCACAGATGAATCTGAAGGACAGCTCTGCATCTGTGAGGAAAATAGATCTGCATGCACCAGCTTACACGCTTTTGAGTTACTTCACCTAAACAATGAGTTTCCATGCCTGAGTCGAGGGAATGTTGTTGAAGTCTGGAAAGTATTTTTGGCTTTTGGAATGGAGGGTGTCATGCACTGATGCCAAAGGAGTGCTTTAAAAAAACAACAATAATATTAGGCTCACTTTCTTTCCTTTGAAGTCAATAGTAGGAAACATCCATTTTATCAAAGCTGCCTCACCAGAGATCTCTCTTTTTATTAGGTCTCTGATGGCATTTCCCGATACTGTCAAGGAACCGCAGCATTAAAAACACTCTGATTAGAGGAGTAGACAGCAGTGGTTTTGTGGAAGTACAATGT